AAGAAGAAGAAGAAGAAGAAGAAGAAGAAGAAGAAGAAGAAGAAGAAGAAGAAGAAGAGGAAGAAAGAAGAAGAAGAAGAAGAAGAAGAAAGAAGAAGAAAGAAGAAGAAGAAGAAGAACGAAGAAGAAAAGATCCATGAATCATGCAGGGAAGAATATCCAGGTTCCATGCTGAACCCTGAACCAGAAGACCCTGATCAGGAGGTCCAGGGAGAGAACATTCTTTTCCCACTCAGAGTAGTAGTTAGCTCCAGTGTGGAGAGGCACTGGTTACCCAAGAGCCTCTGCTGGGGAATACGACTGGAGCAGACTATTTACTTTGAATCTCCTCTTCAGAGTGATCTTGGTCTTGACGTGATTCTAAGTCCTCATCGGGTTCTGATTTTTTCTGGCACTGGTGCCTAGCTCTTCGATTCTGAAACCAAATCTTAAGTGAGAAAAGAAAATGAGAGAATTAAGTATGTTTATGTCATCTCAACCTCATCACTGCCTGTCTTCAGTGTGTGTGTGATTCTTATTAGATCAAAGCTCAGGATTGTTACTGATACCTGTCACATCTGACTAAGTCTTAGGTCAAGGATTGGCATTTAGCATCTTCACAATCTGGTCCCAACATGACTATAATGATGTTTTTAAGTTAATAAATAGATACTGCGGTTACGCATTTAACAACCAGCTCAAGCATTTCCTCTTCTCTGAAGGAGTACCTACACACTTCCTTCCTCTTTGATCCTCAGTACCCACATTTGTGAGGTGAGACAAAGAGCAACATCCTTTTGAGTTCATTCTGGGTGTCAATCAAGATACTCCAGGGCAACCCTCTCTGGTCCCCTCCCTCTTCAGGAGCTTTGTACTATTGCTCAATAAACTTTACTATCCCTCAATAAACTTTGCTTTAAGTTTATTTAAAAAGATAGTCCACACAAAGCCCTTAGCAGACTGGCTCATAACATGTGCTTGATCAACAGTTTCCTCTCCTCCTGTTCTAATTCTAGTCTTGGAGATATAGAATTTGTAATTTACCTGGATTCTGGACTCATCAGTGTTGATTTCTAAAGCAAGTCTTTGTTTGGTAGCATAACCTGGGTAAGGATTTTGGTCAAATGCCTTGATGAGGATTTTCAATTGATCTTCTGTGAATTTGGTGCGGCTGCGTCTCTGATTCATTGTTATGGTCTCTTTGGAAAGATTAGGAAAGAAGAAGCATTTAATAGGCCAGCTTAAACATTTCAAACTTCAGGCTCAGGCTAGTGTCTGATTTCCTCTTTTCATTTGGAATCCACCAGAACCCAATAGGAAAGAACTCTGCCACAGTTATAAAGCCCTTAAACACACAAGTGTGTTCTGTGGTTTTTTTTTTTTTTAAGATTTTATGTATTTATTTGAGAGAGAGAGAGCACAAGCAGGGGGAGCAGCCGAGAGAGAGGGAGAAGCAGGCTCCCCACTGAGCAGGGAGCCAAACATGGGGCTCAATCCCAGGACCCTGGGATTATGACCTGAGCTGAAGGCAGATGCCCAACTGACTGAGCCACCCAGGTGCCCCACATTATGTGATTTTAGATATGAGACACCACCTTAAAATAGCCAAATCCGGAAAAGTCTGGACATTTGTTTGGAACATATGATTTTGTAACAAAATTAGACTTAGTGAACTGAGATGAGAAGAAAATTTACTAGGGTTGCTAGAGGTTCAGTTGGAAGCACAACAGCTGTATTCATAAGAGAGGAGACTTTAGGGGCGCCTGGGTCTCAGTCATTAAGCGTCTGCCTTCAACTCAGGTTATGATCCCAGGGTCCTGGGATCGAGCCCCACATGGGGCTCCCTGCTCAGCAGGAAGCCCGTTTTTCCCTCTCCCACTCCCCCTGCTTGTGTTCCCTCTCTTGCTGTCTCTCTGTCAAAAAATAAATAAAATCTTAAAAAAAAAATAGAGGAGACGTTAATGTACTGAGTTGCTTTGATTGGCACCTCATAGGAAAGAGCAAGTTGAATCTTTCTGTCTCTGATACAGTTTTGCAATATTTCTGAGGTCACTCTCAAGAGAAAGTCTAACTCCACATTTATGCAAAAAGAAAATCCAGTAAAAACTCTTAACTATGGCTACTCATTACATTCCTTAAGCAAAAGAATTCATTTGGATTCCCAGTCTATAAAGATGCTTTTCTCTTTGATCCCTGAATGTCCCTCCTAAAAGCCTAAATCTTCAATTGCATGCCAGTCTACTACCTCCTGGTCTATTGTACTTCACTGAAAGCGGAAGGTTAACTTTATGTATGTATTTTTATTTACTTTATATTTTATTTTTTTATTTTTATTTTTTTATTATATTATGTTAATCACCATACAGTACATCATTAGTTTTTGACAGAGTGATCTGTGATTGTTTGTATATAACACCCAGTGCTCATTACCACACGTGCCCTCCTTAAGACCCATCTCCCAGCTATTTACTTATTTTTTAGATTTTGAATTTTTTTTAAAGTAATGTCTGCACCCAACATGGGGGTTGAACTCACAACACTGATATCAGAGTCACCTGCTCTACCCCACTGAGCCAGCCAGTCACCCTGAAAGGGGAAAGTTAACTTTACTGTCACCCATGATTCCTCTTAAATCATACCATGTTGATCAGGCCCTTACATATATCTTTTTTTTAATGATTGTTTTAAAGATTTTATTTATTTATTTATTTGAGAGAGAGAAGGAGAGAGAGAGAGAGAGCATGAGGGGGGGAGGGTCAGAGGGAGAAGCAGACTCCCCGCTGAGCAGGGAGCCCGATGCGGGACTCGATCCCGGGACTCCAGGATCATGACCTGAGCTGAAGGCAGATGCCCAACCAACTGAGCAACCCAGGCAACCATATATCTTTTTTTTTTTTAAGATTTTATTTATTTGACAGAGCACAAGTGGAGGGAGAAGCAGGCTCCCTGCTGAGCAAGGAGCCCGATGAGGGGCTCAATTCCATGACCCTGGGATCATGACCCAGGCCGAAGGCAGCCGCTTAACTGACTGAGCCACCCAGGCATCCCAGGCCTTACCTATATCTTTGACATCATCACCTAGTGACCTACTTGGCCTTATACCCTGAAACAGGTGTGTCCTCCAGCCACCACACCTAACTCCTTTCTGTCCCCCAACCAGGCCAACTTCCTCCTATTTCAAGCTTGGTACTTGTTCTTCTCTTCCTGTGATGTTCTTCCCACGGTGATGGACTAACTTGCACCTTTATGACAGGTTCCAGCTTGAGCATTATCTTCTCAGAGTCCTTCCCTGACTCTCCAGTCTAAGGACTGTGCTCCATGCTCCAAATAGTCTGCGACAGAATTTTTTTTTTAAGATTTTTATTTACTTATTTGAGAGCTCGTGGGAGAGAGAACGAGCAGGGGGAGGGGCAGGAGAGGGAGAAGCAGGCTCCCCGCCGAGCAGGGAGCCCGAATTGGGGCTCGATCCCAGGACCCTGGGATCATGACCTGAGCAGAAGGCAGACATTTAACTGAGCCACCCAGGTGCCCCGTGATTAATTTTTCTGATGGCAAAGTGATTGGCTCCGAGGTTGACCTTAGGTAAAAAAAAAAAAAAAAAACGAAACAAAACTCTCACAGGACCCCACCCATCTTATACCACCACTTACATTATTCTCTGTGCACAGGTCCTTGACTATCCATTCTTAGAAGGAAAAATTCCTTTACAATAAAAAGCTTAAAGGAAAGCCCTTAAGTAGCTGTAGTAGAACTTCTAACCAACCCAGACCAACCCCCTAGGGAGTAGGGGAAGAGATAAGCAGATTAGCGCTTCCTGAGACACCACATTTAGCGGCTGGGCTGGGAGGCAGAGATGAGGAAGAGCAAAAGTAAGATGAAATTAATGAAGGAGGAAAGCAAAGAGATCAAAGCTGAGTAAGATTTTCTTTTTTTTTAAAGATTTTATTTATTTGTCAGAGAGAGAGAGAGAACAAGCAAAGGGAGTGGCACGCAAAGGGAGAAGGAGCCCAATGTGGGACTCAATCCCAGGACCCTGGGATCATGACCTGAGCCAAAGGCAGATGCTTAACCGACTGAGCCACCCGGCCATCCCAGTGAGATCTCTTTCATCAATCCTGGGGCGTGTTTTAGCCCAATAAGCTAAAGGCTCCTTGAGAGCAGTATCAAGGTCCAGTTCGTCTCTGACTGGGGAGTTGGGGGGGTGTTGGGGGGCACAAAGTTCCAGACAGAGTTACAGCTTAATAATTCCCTTCCTGAGTCTATACCCTAGAGGAGCCGACGACACATGTACATCTGGGTAACGCAAATGGATAGTCACTGCCATAGTGTTGGTAGTAGTGACCATCTTAAATGTCTACCGACGGAACTGCATTTCCAAACGAAAATACCAAGTAAACCTTATTTTAGGATATTTGGATTTACAGAAGTTACAAAGATAGTATGAGGAGTTCCCATGTATCAACACCCGGTATCCCCTATTGTTCACTGTACTTTTTAAAAAGTAATCTCTATACCCAATGTGGAGCTCAAACTCATAACCCCAAGAGCAAGAGTTGCATGCTCTACCAACTCAGTCAGCCAGGTACTCCTCCCCTATTATTAATATCTTATATCAGTACAGGATATTTGTCACAGCTAACGAATCAATACTGATACATTATTAGTAACTGAAGTCCATACTTTAGGGCGCCTGGGTGGCTCAGTTGGCTAAGCGACTGCCTTCGGCGCAGGTCATGATCCCGGAGTCCCAGGATCAAGTCCCACATCGGGCTCCCTGCTCAGGGTGGAGTCTGCTTCTCCTTTGACCCTCTCTCCTCTCATGCTCTCTCTCAAATAATAAAATAAAATCTTTAAAAAAAATAAAGTTCATACTTTATTCACATTTTTAAAGTTTTTTACCAAAAAATTTTTTACCAGATATCCTTTTTCTGTTCTAGGATGCTTTTCAAGGTATCATACTACATTGGGTCATCATGTCTCCTTAGGCTCCCTCTGGCTCTGACAGTTTCTCAGGCTTTCTTAGTTTTTCATGATATGGACAGTTCTGAGGAGTCCTGAGCAGATATTTTGTAGAACCTCATTGGAGTTTATCTGGTATTTTTCTATGATGAGACTAGGGCTGTGTTTTCTGAGAAGAACCAAACAGGATTTTGAGGGCAACCTAAAATGTGCAGGGAGGATAAAAGCCCACAAAGTAGATTATATATTTTGTTAAAAAAAGGATAAAGATAACAGATTTTTTTTGAAGATTTTATTTATTTTTGACAGAGAGAGAGTGTGTACAAGCAAGGGAAGCAGCAGTCAGAGGCAGAGGGAGAAGCAGGCTCCCTGCTCAGCAGGGAGCCCAACGCAGAGCTCGATCCCAGGACCCTGGGGTCATGACCTGAGCCGAAGGCAGACGCTTAACGACTGAGCCATCCGGGCGCCCCATGATGATAGATTTAATTATCCAGTTGAAATAGATTAGTAGAAATTTTTTCCCTATGGTACTCATGCAGAAACAGACAAGGAGACAAATGGAACCAAATAGAAAGCCAAGGCACAGAAAGCCTGTTATATGTGAGAACTTGGAATGGCTATAGCCTCCAAAATCAGTGGGAAAGGGTAGTGTTGGGTAAAGAGAACGGCTTACTGTGTGAAGAAAAATGAAGTTGAGCCATACAATATACAGTATATTTTAAAATGCCAAATTAAAGACATGTAAAATGTAACAGTAAATGGAAGATTATGTACAAGAAAACCTATGTTACACTGAGATAGAAAAGAGTTACTTAAATAAAATGCCAAAATGCAATGGGAAAAATTGATGGAACTAAAGACATCATAATTGAAAACTGCAGGTCAAAAGTTAGAAAATCAGATAAAGCCAGATGCTTGCAATTATGGGGATTTTAATTGTTCAAAAACGTATTTCTGGAGTGCCTATTAAAAAGCCAGACCCTATCCTAGGCACTGTGAACAAAACAGTCAAGATAGCCCTGACCTCACAGAGAGTCAGGAGATAGAAAGCAAATGAGTGAAATATATAGTATGTCAGATGGTAAGTATTCCCATGGCAAAAAAGAAGGAAGGAGGGAAAAGAGAGAATGCACAGGGTAAGGTCACATTTTCAAGTGAAGTAATTAGTGAAGACCTCACTGAGAAAATGACTTGAGCAAAGACTTGAAGCAAATGAGAGAAGGAGCGACGTTGACACTTAGAGAGGCTCACTGCAGGGACTTGGGATCGCAGTGGGAGCCTGCCTGGCCTATTGAAGAGACAGCAAGAAGGTTACACAGCCTGCAGAAGAGGAAATAAAGCATAAGCAGGTGAGGTCCTAGACCTCAGATGAGGCGGGGAAAGCAGATTATATAGGGCCTCATAGGGCCTTGTGGGGATGGACCAAAAAAATGGTCAGATTCCTAAAATATTTTAAAGTTAAAACCAACAAAATTTCCAGCCTGATTAGATGTGGGTCATAAGAGAAAAATGGGTCGAGGATGTTTCCTAGATTTTTTTGGCCGGGGCACCCGGCATGTCCTGAGTGAGGATAAACTCAGGGAGGGAGAGTTTGGGTGGAAACATGGAGGGTCCAGTTTGGGACATGTTGAGTTTGAGATGCTGGTTAGAGACAAGTAAACAAGTTAGATAGACAAATCCAAAGTTCTGGAGAAAAGTTGAGTCTGGAGAGAGAAATCTAGAAGCCTCTTTGATTCCAAAGATCTTCTGGTCTCTGAACTTTCTCATACCTCCCATAGTTTTTTTTTTTTTTTTCTAAGTGTATCTCTCTCCCTTTTCTTCTTCCTGAAGCAAGAATCTATCTTGTTTAGTTCTTGAATGCCTGTATCTTTCTGAAATCCCCAATGCTCAATGCTCAGAAAACAGCATATTTTCTTTCTTTTTTTTTTTAAAGATTTTATTCATTCACTTGAGAGAGAGAATGAGAGAGAGAGAGCACATGAGGGGGGGAGGGTCAGAGGGAGAAGCAGACCCCCCCGCCGAGCAGGGAGCCGATGCGGGACTCGATCCCGAACTCCAGGATCATGACCTGAGCCGAAGGCAGTTGCCCAACCAACTGAGCCACCCAGACGCCCGAAAACAGCATATTTTCATCTCACATGAGAGGAACTGGTTTTCCCTAATCCTAGTACACTTATTTCAAAGTTTAAAAATGGAATTCCCACAACTTCTGACAAGCCCAGGAGGTTTTTAGTCCAATTTCCTCCCCAAACCAATGAAATGGAAACTTTAGTCAGGTGTGTGGGGAACTTACTGTTTGGAGAGTTGTCTTGGGCCATGTTGGAAGAGAGTTCTGAAGTCTAAGGATCAGACTGGGAATCAGCCTCGAGGATGGTTTTATATCATCAGCCTGGATGGCCCCTCCTGTTTATTTAATCTTTAGTGATTCTGAAGTTTTATCTTTACCAATTGAATCACTTCTTAGAATCATAGACCCTCTTAACCTAGGAAGGGCTAGGTAAGTCTCCTATTCTTCCATTAATAGAGATTTAATAATTTATACTAACCTGTACACCTAAACCATCACAGGAGCATTTCTGAGTACTACCATATTCACACATTTTTATCAATGTTTATTATATACATTTTTTAAATTCCTTTTTTAATGCTCTTCACTTATCTTTTGAAGTGGTGACCTTTTCTTATTAAATTTTTTTAAAGATTTTTTCATTTATTTGACAGAGAGAGACACAGTGAGAGAGGGAACACAAGCAGGGGGAGTGGGAGAGGGAGAAGCAGACTTCCCGCAGAGCAGGGAGCCCAATGCGGGGCTCGATGTGGGGCTCGATCCCAGGACCCTGGGATCATGACCTGAGCCGAAGGCAGACGCTTAACCATCTGAGCCACCCAGGCACCCAGTAAAATTTTTTTAAAACCTTGGAATTTAAAGATAAAAATAAAATATTTTACAAATAGGGAAAAATATTTGCAACACCAGATAGACAATATAGTAAAGTGGTTATAAATATAGATCCTGGACCCAGCCAGACACATAATTCTGAATACTAACTTTATACTTAAGTTCTGTATGACTTTGGAAAAATTACTGAACCTTTCTGATTGCCTTCTGAAAAGCATCACTGCTTAAATAGTCAATTTGAACGTATTTTTTTTTTAAAGATTTTATTTATTTGACAGAGAGAGACACAGTGAGAGAGGGAACACAAGCAGGGGGAGCGAGAGAGGGAGAAGCAGGCTTCCTGCGGAGCAGGGAGCCCGATGCGGGGCTCAATCCCAGGACCTTGGGATCATGACCCGAGCCAAAGGCAGACGCTTAACCGACTGAGCCACCCAGGCACCCCATGAACATATTTTTAAAAATACTTATTTTACAAAGCATCACCATGAAACATAGAATTTTCACCATCACATATTTTTTAAAGATTTTATTTACTTATTTGACAGAGAGAGACACAGTGAGAGAGGGAACACAAGCAGGGGGAGTGAGAGAGGGAGAAGCAGGCTTCCTGCGGAGCAGGGAGCCCCATGCGGGGCTCGATCCCAGGACCCTGGATCATGACCTGCATGTTGAGGTAAAAAGCAAGGTCCAGATAATGACATATCATAAGACATCCCATTTTTACCGTTCAAAATCAAGTAGAACCAAACTTTATCTAGGCACATACAGATATATAATTTTAAAAAATAAATAAGTCATCTACACAAAATTTATGACAGTGGTTATCTCTCAGGTATATTTGATATAAATGATTGATAATGTTCTAGTTATGATTTGCGTGGTAAATTCACAGGTGATCATTACATATATATTAAATTTTACAAAGTGAAATGAGTTGTAAAAGAACAAAAACGATGACAATGTCATATAAATCAGTGATTATGATTAATCAAATTCTGTGTCCCTGAGGCTATATTAAAAGGATAAACTATTATTACCACTTAGAGCAAGGATTTTTTTTCTTGCATTTTTCATAGAATATTTTAACTTTTTTTTTTTAAAGATTTTATTTATTCATTTGAGAGAAGGTGAATGAGAGAGCGAGCACGAGCCCAGGGGGGAGGGGCAGAGGGATAGGGAGAACCAGACTCCCGCTGAGCAGGGAGCCCAGTGCGGGGCTCTAGGATCATGACCTGAGCCAAAGGCAGTCGCTTAATGGACTGAGCCACCCAGGTGCCCCAGCCAATATTTTAACTTTTTATTGAAGTATAATATAAATGTTGAAAGTACACATATCGGGATGCCTGGGTGGCTCATGGCTTATGTAGAAGAGGCAAATTTTACCTCTACCTTCTTAGGATCTCTGGATGGGCCTGAGAATTAAATTGACATAAAACATATTAACAGGAAGGAAGCTTATAAATTTATTTAATGTAAGTTCTACCTGATACACAAGGCTTCATAAGGAAACGAAGACCCAAAGAAGTAGCAAAACCTAAGTGCTTATATATTAAGTTGAACAAAGAGAGGCAATTGTTCAAAAGTAGCTAAAATAAATGGGGAGACTAAAGGAAGATAAAAGTTATCTTTAAAAAAAAAGATTTTATTTATTTGAGTGAGAGAGAGAGAGAGAGCACAAGCAGAGGGAGAGGCAGAAGCAGGCCTTCTGTTGAGCAGGGAGCCCGATGCGGGGCTGCATCCCAGGACCCTGGGATCATGACCTGAGCCGAAGGCAGACCCTTAACTGACTGAGCCACCCAGGCGCCCCCAAAGTTATCTTAACAAGGTCTGTTTGTATGGGTTTTTTGTTTTTTGTTTTTTGTGTTTTTTTTGGTTTTGACTCCTCATCTCTGGTGATAACAATGTTTCCTCCTAGTGTATTTTTGTTACACTTTTGTCACATTTGCTCTATCACTCATCCTTTTCCCTCCCACTCTCCATCAATTTATATTTTTCTGAAACATTTAAGAGCTTCATACTTCATGTCTCATATTTGTTTGTATTTTCTGAGAAAAAGGATATTACCTTACACAACCAGAGGACAATTTCTAATGTCAGAGAATTTAACATTAGGTCAATAGGTCAACAGATTCATTCGGATCATATTGCATTCATCATATAAAGTCCATTATATGTAGTATGGTCCGTCCTAGCAATGGACCAATACCAGATTTGATCTAGTTAAGCATAAGTATGACTTTTTTTTACTGTTTTTATTTGGAAATTAAGTATGTTTTAAGGAGATGTATGTGGGTGCCAAGTTGACAAGAGGTAGAATATGATGGCTAGTTTTATGTGTAAACTTAGCTAGGCTATACTAGCCAGTTATTGGATCAAACTCTAATTTAGTGTTGCTGTGAAGATATTTTATAGATATGCTCAACATCTACAACTGATTGGCTTTAAGCAAAGGATTTTATTTTGGTAATGTGGGTGGACCTTATCCAATCAGTGAAAAGATCTTAAAGGTTTAAGTAAGAGTTCTCAGAGGAAGAAATTCAGTGTCAAGACTGCAGCATTAGCTTTGTCTGGAGACTTTCCAGCCCACTAGCCTACCCTCTACCCTATGGATAGAGTAAAACTTGCCACGCCCCACAATCATATAAGTGAATTTCTTGAAATAAATCTCATATACATATTGTACCTACATATGTATATGCAATACACATATATACACCATATAGTTATAAAAGGTGTATACATGTAAATATTTATAAAACATGTATCTTACTAGTTCTCTACAGAACTCTTGATATAGTCTTCATTCCTTGACCTAATTAATAACTTGTCACTATGACTCTCTCTCATCTTAGGGTTATTAACTCAAGGGCATTTCTATACTCCGTGATTCCAGTTCTCAATCTGTATGCATCCTCAAATCATCAAAGATGCATTTGATTCTCTCAGCTCCACAGTTATGAAAAAAAAAAATCACCAATGGTGACTTCTAAGATTGCTTTATGTACCTCTGGGTGGACTTTAGAACCGTAATGTGAGTTTGTTGGTTTCTTGACATCAACCAGTTAACAAAGCCAAGTTGGTCCAGGATTCATGCTCCATCCATTCTCTTCTCCAGTCTACATTCATTCCTCTGATAGTCCTACGTAGTATCATGATTTGGAATATAGGTGAAAGGTCCACACAAAATGAACAAACCTTTTTTAAAATTTTAAAGAGAGAGTTTTAGGGGCGCCTGGGTGGCTCAGTCGTTAAGCGTCTGCCTTCAGCTCGGGTCTTGATCCCAGCGTCCTGGGATCGAGCCCCGCATCGGGCTCCCTGCTCAGCTGGAAGCCTGCTTCACCCTCTCCCACTCCCCCTGCTTGTGTGCCCTCTCTCGCTGTCTCTCTCTCTGTCAAATAAATAAATAAAATTTAAAAAAAAAAAAAGAGTTTTATTTAAGCTCAAGTTAGGACAGCTGACCAGTATACACTCACAAAGAAGAGAGTGCTCTGGGGAAGGAACGTTTGGTACAGTGTTATATTTTTGTTTTTACACAGTTACAAATCATCATGACCAGGGGCATTCCAGAAAGTTACAGACTTTGTCTTACGTCTTTAGTATGTGCAAAACCGTATGACTTTAAGGGGAACTAAGGAGGGGTTCCCCCCCTTATCTTTATGTTTAGAATGTTCCTTTTCGGTTATTTTTTCCAACAAAGCGGATGTGCAGTGTGTGCTTGGGGCAGAAATAGAGCCCATGCTTTGACGTTTTGCCAAAGTCATTTCGACTTTGGTAAATGCTAAAGTATAGCTTCCCTGCGAGCCCGAAAAGCAGGGCCCACAAACACGGAAAGTTGAAAATTTCCTTTATTTTATCAAGGCTGAACTCTCGTCCAATGCTCAGTCATTGGCTGAAATGCCTACCTAACACACGCTTGTGGTCTCATGGGGGTTTCAAATTGACAACGTTCAAAACTGGAGTCCTGAGTCTCCCTCCGCACGCCCTCTGTTTGCTCCTCCCCACTTCACAGGATGGCAAATCCATTCTTTGGCAATCTGGGCCAATTACATGACTCAGAAATTCACTCGTCTTACAGGAGGCCCAAGAGAGTGCGCAATTTGTGAACGCGGACTGCGGTGTCGATTTTTAGACTACTTTTTTGTCTGCTCCCAGACAAGAGGATCGGGGGAGGTGGTACCAAAAAGGGGAAGTCCACCGGCCAGCCTCGAGTCGACGGCGAGTTCTGGGCCTTTGCATATGCCTCCACCCTGACGAACGTCCGTCCCGAGCCTCGGTTTTACAGAACGAAGGCTCTCGCTCCCGCCCCTGGGCCTCTCGAATCGCAAAGAGGCCGGTCGGCCGCTCAGCGGCTCGCGCTCCGTCCTCCAGGAGGAAGACTCCGGCGAAGAGCCGCGCCGCGCGGCCGGACACAGACGAGGGAAACCACAGTACCCAGAAGGCGTCGGGGGCGGCGCGGGCCCCTGACAGCCCCGGAAAGGGGCGTTCCCTGAGGCGCCCTGCGTGGGCGGGACTTCCGGGCGCTCCGCTGCCGCCGCCATTAGCCTCCGCCGTTCGCCCCGGGACGGCGTTGACTTGCCGAGCGCTGGGCCGGTGCCGCACCTTGGCCCTTTCGCGGGGAACGAGCCGGAAGGAGGAGGGAACTCACCCTCGCGTTGTGTAGCGGCCGTGACCCCCTGGAGCGGTGTGCCCTCCGCCGGCCGCCCGCTGGGCCGCGGCCTCTGCAGCCGCCCCCATCCCCGCAGTCGCCAAGGGCGGCGCCCGGGTCGTGGTGCCTTTTACTCGGGGGACGCCGCGGTCCGCCGAGGTCGCCAGGGCGCGCAGAGCAGAGGTGTGCTCGCCCGCAGCGCCCCGCGATGGCGGCGCCGCCGAGCGGCCGGGCCCAGGTCAGTGGACGTTGGTTCCGGGATTGCCGCCGCTCTGCGGGGGGAGCCCCGACGTCCGCCGCCCGGGTCTCTGCGGTTGTGTGTTTGGGCGCGCGCGCCTGGCCTGCCGCCCGGTGGTCCCCGGTTCCCTGAGGTGTGTGGGCCCCTTCACTACGTGGTGGGAAGAATGATGCTCCCGCCGGGGACTCCCGTCATTCTTAGGGGAGGCTCCACCCCGCCACCTGCCCTGGGTTGATTGCCGCTGCCCCACCTGGCCCCCTCCGACAGGGGACCTTGGGCACCGGGCGGAGGCGGGAGAGCCTTTCAGACAGAGGTGCGTGGACTAAAGCAAAGTACCCTGGGTGTTAGGGAGGCCCACGAGGGCCGGTGAGGTTGCGGTGGTTCCTCCCGGCTGCTGGGCGCCTCTGGAGGGCGAGGCCCTGTGGTCTTCCGCAGGGGGCACCACCAGCCCTCAGCCAGCACGCTTGGGGGCCAGTGCCGGTGTTACCTGTAGCTGTTTGGGCTTCCCGGCCTCAGGGGTAAAGGTTCTCAGAGCTCAGGAAGGACAAGGAGGCGTAGGGTTCATTGTGGCAGCTCCCCCCAGTCTGGGAGACCCAGGGAAGGCCCAGGGGGCGTGGGGAACAAATCCGGGCACTGCTCCTCGGCCCATGTTCACAGAAATGTTGGGGGCGTGGATGGAAATTATTTAACAGCAAAAACGGGGGTAAATGCTTCATAGCCTCCGTACTTGTAATCACTCTGATGGTGGAGGAATGTCCAGTTTACTCTCTTCAACACTGTGTTAGAGTAATCTGTCTTAAAAATCTCGCTTCTGGTTTGTAAAATGCAAGACTTTGCATCAATTGGTGGAGCTCCCTTAGCCTTTCCCTGTGCCATGAAGGTGATGAGATGTCATGGGCTGTGGGAGAAACAGTGAAAATCCCAAAGCACACTGAGCAGTGAGTAATTTCTGTTTAAATCGCACAACTGTTATTGGTGAAGTGGGAACTATTATTGTATTGATCCAGAAACCGAGGCTCAGAGAAATGAAGTGATGTCTTCAAGGTAACACAGCTGGCAAGTGTCGGTTTCAAGAGTTTGGATGCAAGCCACAGGAGACTGACTTAAGAACTGGGGACTTATAGTCCCTTTAACCAGGATGTGAAG